AGTTCTGGAGTTTAAGAGTTGCAAAAATACAAATAATCATGGGCCTCACATTCACATACATCAAAAAATGGTCAGAAATGGCCCCTGTATTTAGTTCAGCCAGCCAATCTTCTCTCAGGTAAGACACTGTACACTGCTGTGTCCACCTTTAGGAGCAGGGGACATCGTCATACTGCTACACTGCAATGAAGTGGTTGCAGAAAGTCTGCTTTTAAAGTGCAGAAGAAAAAAATGGTGGCTGGTAAAACAACAAACCAAGAAAGAGTGAAGCAAAACAAGCAAAGTTCCCCAGTGTTCCAGTTCGTGTCCTGCAACATGTTTGTGCTCCATTCCCTGTTTTCCTGTTTTTGGTGTAGTTTTGTGGCAGCGTTGCAGCGCCACACAGAGGCCTGGCATAGTTACTGAAGCATTTCAGGTCATGTGTCATGAATCCATGTGGATAAAACATTTCTAGAAACAGCAGAATGTTCAATGTTTTTTTATATATGGGATTGATAAAATCCCAGGTTGCGTCCTTATCTTAGTTATTCTGAAGGTTTTGGGGTGAGTCATGTTTCCTATTGTTACCTAATGTTAACTTTGTCTGTCACCAGAATCAATAAATTATGGTGTTTAAACATTTACCTTCAAAATAAATTAAAGTTTCCATGACTTTAGTTTCCAAAGACTGTTTTATTATTGTTATTATTTTTTACCAAAACCAAACCTGCAGTTTGTAAGCTTCCTCATTAGGTTCATTTCTGCAGACATGAGCACATTTTTGATGCTAAAGGCAGCGTCTCACTGGACTGTGACTGTTAAAAACAAGTTGCTGACTCAAAGTTGCAGACGGGTGCAAGAAAACGGGCAGACCTTCTGCTGCAGTCTCACTGAATTCTGGGAGTTTCCAGCCATGCATGGGACTGGACAGTTTTTAAAAATCTTGGCCTTTTTTCATGCACACATCCTGCAAAACTGCAATTTTTCACATTATTTAATTGTCCACCTACACCTGCATCGTTACCCCCCCAGCTCTCTTTCTACCTACCTTAGCAGCTGCCAAAGCTCTCATTTAGATGTCCAAATACAGCTCTTTATACTATATTGTATTATGTTGTACTATATTGTATTATGTTATACTATATTGTACTTTGCCCTAAATTGTTTTACTTGGAAACACCTACTGTTCCTGAAACACTATAAGGACCAGTGATATTATGAATGTTCTTAAGTTCTCTCATTATCAGAGTGTATCAGATGTTTCCAAATGGACTGTCGTCTTGTGTTCTAGTTGTCTCTCTCATACTAATAAGGATGGATCATAAACATGTCTCCTCGGTCACAATTGATTAATGAGTCCTAAAGCAGGAAGTGCTAGTTTATAGTGCTCACACACATTCACATAAAAGAGCTTCAGTTTGCAGGAAAGTAATCACAAAATAAATATGAAGATGGCTGCCGCTGTGAAAACATTAACATGTTTTAAGTAAGGTGAAGCAAAAAGGCCTTCTGCTCAGCTCCTGCACCTGGAACACCTGGCAACAGGAACTGAAGTTGTCCTCCTTGTTTCTTTACGGCGTTTCAAACATTTGATAAAGTCAATAGAAAAATTAAAGCAAATATGTTTTTGTTTTTAGTATTTTATCCTGTTTTACAGAACCCTGACTTATTGTTTTATACACTACTCTTTATTTTAATTGAATTTTTACTGTAGTTTATTATTGTTGTTGTCTGTACTTTATCTGTTCTGTCTGGAACAGGTCCCTCTTGCAAATAAGTCCCAGAGGGTCAATGAGGCTAGCCTGTATAAGTAAAGGCTGAATGAATGAATGAATGAACGAATGAATGAACGAATGAACGAATGAATGAACGAATGAACGAACGAACGAATGAACGAACGAATGCATACATTTCAGAGACTTGTGGATAGTTATTTAGAGGAACTGCTGGAACACAGCTAGTGTTGCTGCAGCCTAATCTTTAAAAACATATTCAAACCTTATTATTAGATATAACTGGTACGTCTTGATTAAAACCTTCTACAATGAACGTTTGTGTGAATAGAACGTGTGTGGGGTTCCAGAACGTGGTCTTGCTGCAGTCAGAAGTGGAGCGAGTGACTGATGGAACAGAGCGAAGTGGCGGTGCAGCCGTCTGCCAGATGGAACAAGATAAGGACATTTTCCAGTGACAGACATGTGCTGACTGTTAAGTGTGTCTTCGTTCCTGATGCTCTTTCTCCTTCACACTTGTGGCTCAGTGGAAATGTACAGAGATGGAAGTTTCATTGTTACCATGATTACTTTATTTCTTCTCTGCACCTACTTGCTGAGCCCATGTGGGATGGACAGGAGGAGGAAGTGTCTAGAGTCACATTTCCTGTTTCACGTCTCTTCAATATCGTGTCGCCTAAATCAAATTGAGATGCTTCACCCATCAGATTCTGATGTTAGCAAATCCAACTATGAATAATTTCAAAACTGAGGTGACCATTTCAGCTCTTTTCAAAAAGAAATGACAACCAATAAAAGACAAATATTGACAGTTTTATTGACTCTTAAAACAATAATTTGGAGCATGACTTAACCTCCACTCCCTGAAGGGAAAGTACGGCTTGTTTTGAACTCTACTGATGTAATTAGTTGTTACTTAGAACTAAAAGACCTTTCTTCATGAAAATAATTTTTCTGTTTTGGTTTTATTGATTGATTGATTGATTTTTTTACTAGAAAGAAAATATTGAGATATATATTCATCTCAAAACATTGAGATATTAATTTAGGTCCGTATCGCCCAGCCCTACAGCTTAAGAGTTGTTTGTGCAGTTGCAGAAGCTGAAGGCCGTCGGAACAATTCTAACTTCAAAACTTCACAGTTGTTTGTTTTTGTTCTGTTTCTTTTTTCTTTTTCATTTCCCAACATTTCTTCAAGGAATACATATTATTTATTGACGTTCATGCCAGAGTTAAACTACAACCAACTTCTGTTGAGCTGCAGCTGTTTTTATCCAACCTTAATAAAAATGTTCTGCACAACAGGGACAATTCTAGAATCTGACCTTTAGGGGGGCTCAGCCCCCAGTGCTCACAACGGCTCTTGACTTGAACATTGCAGTGGCAGATGACCCTTCCCCTTAAAATTAGGAATAACGTAGTTGCCATTTCCTGCATTCTGGTGTATTTTAATGGATTGTTAAACATGATTGGTCTGTTGCTGACGAGCCTACTGGATTGATTGACAGGTGGCATTGAGGACCTGACTCATGTAAAAAAATCTTATATTTTACTGGCCCGTTTAAGAGTGTACAGGGGGCTGCAGCTTCTAAGATGTGCTTAGATAAGAGAAAGGGAAGACAAACATAAGGAGAGAGGTATAAAAAAGATCTCATACCATGTCCTAGACAGGGCACGGTTTGAGGCAACAAAAAAATGCCACAGCAAAGCAACATAAATAGACGTAATGCATATACGTGTGGAGTGGGTAGGGGGTGGAAGTCCCAGCACAGCTGCCAGGTGAGCAACGCAGCCCATGGCACCTTCGCATCTCCTAGGTTGCTGCACCGGGGGAGGCAAGGGAGGCCAGCGGAGGCATTGAGTTTGAGAGAAGGTTGTAGCAGAGCACTGTCCAGACCTCCCCCCCCCATTAGATATTAACATTGTTTTGGGTCAGGCTGAACTCATAAATTTCCATGTCTGCCTTAACGGTCTCGCTAGTACATTCTCTCATGGCGACTCCAAACAGTCAAATTTGATTACTTACGCCAAGTCGAGCTTACAGCATCTCTAAGATTTATTCATTCCAACTGTTCGTGGACACTGCAAGATACAGCACCGCATATACGTAGTTGGCACATTGTCTGAGTGTTGCCAATCTCAGAACATTCTCCACAATTTGTCGACAATCTAGATTTCCACCAACTCCAAAAAGTAAAATCCAGTTATCGTAGATCCAGTTATGTTTCCATCAAGGTAAGAGGGTTCTCCTTCACCCTGACTACCTGTTGAGAAAAATGTATCAATTTCACAGAGAGACCAGCTGATTAAATCCATTGTTATTTGGAAGGTATGCAATAAAAGGGGCTCTGAAAAAGGTTCACAAGACAAAAAGCAAAGCAGGGACAAAACGAGAGATGAAGCAGAAGAGGACGCGTCTGCCTTCCACCAAGAGCAAGCAAAAAAAAATATATATGGGTATGAATATAGCAGCTTAAAGGCAAGAGATCAGCAGCATGGATAATCAGCAGCACATATAAAAGCACATATCATCAATAAAAGTGTCATCACAGATTCTCCTGGTTAGAGATTCATGAGTCTAACAGCCTCAGGGTAGAAGCTGTTCCTCAGTCTAGTGGTTCTACACTTAATGCTCCTCAACCTCCTTCCTGAGGGGAGCGGGGCAAAAAGTGTGTGTGCTGGGTGAGTGGGGTCCTTCATGATGCAGGTGGCCCTCTTCCTGAATCTGGAGGTGTAGATGTCTGTGATGGTGGGGAGACTGACTCCAACATCTTCTGTGCAGCCTTCACCACTCTCTGCAAAGCTTTTCTTTCTGCAGCTGTGCAGCCTCCATGCCACACGTTGATGCTGGAGCACAGGATGCTCTCCACTGCACACCTGTAGAAGGAGATGCCTGTAGCTGGACTCATTGTTTGTGATCGTGTGCATCCAACCACCACTGTATCATCTGCAAACTTTACAATATGACAGCCTGGATGGGTAGGTGCACAGTCATACGTGAGCAGACTGAACCAGAGAGGGCTCAAGACACAACCCTGAGGGGTGCCAGTGCTGAGGGTTATGGTGGAGGAGGAGAAGTTGTGGATTTTCATAGATAATTAAAGTTATATTCGATTTTTATTTGATCACCCAGCTTTCCAATGTTCAAGGCATAATATTTATTTTGTTTATTAAAGATTTTTCTTGGTAAATTTTCTTTCTTTTTGCTGATTTGACAGTTACAGATGAAAATTGAGTCTCTCTGGCTGAATTCAGCTTGGATTTTCTTTGTTGCCTCTTGTCTTACAGAATGGCTCAGAAAGAGAAACTTCAGTGCCTGAAGGACTTCCATAAGGACACTTTGAAGCCATCTCCTGGTAAGAGCCCGGGCACTCGGCCTGAAGACGAGGCCGAGGGCAAACACCCTCAGAGAGAGAAGTGGGCCAGCAAGTTGGACTTTGTTCTGTCTGTGGCCGGCGGCTTTGTGGGTTTAGGGAATGTTTGGCGTTTCCCGTACCTCTGCTATAAGAATGGTGGAGGTAAGGCTTCAAACAATGCTCCTACAAATTTCAAGCATATTCTGCAAAATGTTCTCTGTTTTACTTAATGTACATTTTTCTTTGATTTTAGGTGCATTTCTCATCCCCTACTTCATTTTCCTGTTTGGTGGTGGTCTGCCAGTCTTCTTCCTGGAAGTGGCCCTCGGTCAGTACACCTCTGAGGGTGGCATCACCTGCTGGGAGAAGCTCTGTCCCATCTTTACTGGTATGTAACCAGTCACCATACTATGCTCATTTACTGACCTGGTTTATGGTTACATCCAGATTTTAGGAAACCAAAATGATGAAAGTCATACAAGCAGTTGTTTTTCTTTCACTAGAGTGGCAAAGGATATGGAAAAATGTTTAAACCGCACACCAACAGGAAGATCTTTTTACTGGCTGGTCAAAACAACTGGTTTCAGTTAAACTTCATCTTAATGACAGTTATGTTGTTGAGCTGCTTTAATGCTTTAAATAATGTATAATTTAAGGCACACACACGATCAAACACCAACTGAGTCATTTAAGATGTTGGGTGTTTGAGTTTTTATTTATGATTTCAGATCCAGAGGTGAGTGATGTTTCTAACAAGTCAGTGATGATAATTTATGAATGTGGCATAAACTGCTCTCAGTCACACGAGAGTTTTAACAGTGTCTTGATTTTATTTTATTTTTTTAATAAGGGTGGTATTGGCAACAAACTGTCGATGAGTTTCTGTCTTAAGATAAACATCTAGAGGTGCACCATACCATTTTTTCAAACCCAGACTTTGTACTTACCTTTGAGTACTTGCTGAGTACCAATGTGAGTACTTAGAAATGCTATTCCATTTCTTACAGTTACTTTGAAAATGTAAAAACCAGTGGAGTTTACTTTTCGTGGTAACTTCTCAAATGGAGCCGGAACAAGAACAGTTTTTTTAAAAATGGCCCGTTAGTGAGAGGTGAGCTTGCTGGGACGCTCGTGCTCAGATCCGTCCCAAGATCATCTTCTATGTAGCTGTTCCACGCTGCTGTCAGCAAATTCTTTGATCACAGCATTAATTTTATTTTTACCATTTTTTATATCAAATGATTTTAAAAATGTGAGATTTTATTCCTCCTTTTGACAGCTTTGCTGGGCATAATTCACCATCTGCTTTACTTCAGTCCCTACTTAGTCCCTATAGTCCCCTCCTCAGACTGGAGAAGTCTTTTGGATGAGAGACGAAACATTTCAACAATGAAGAAACCACCCAGAGGACCTGACTGAACTTTGTTAGATTGTTCTACCTGGATCATTGAGCATGCATCAGGATATTTTGCACCACTTTGGCCAGGATGGCCTCAGAAGAGTTCAAGACTTTGAGCAGGTGGTGGGGGAAAGGGCGGACTAGAAGAACCACCTGAGCACCAACAAACTGGTTGACCCACTGTGTGAATGTGTTATTTATAAGACTGAGTTTGTTGCAGCTCCTCGGACTGAAGAAGTCTTTTGGGTAAAAGACGAAACGTTTCAACAAGAAGAATCCGTCCAGAGGACCTGACTTTGTTAGATTTAGTCCCTATTGTTCACTTTGAAATACCATCACATGCCTTCTTCTGATGACGCTGGCGATTCAGGTCTCACTTGTAAATGAGTCCCCGAGGCTCAATGGGAATAACCTGTAGAAATAAAGGTTGAATGATAAGCAAATATGGTACATCATCACCACCAATGTTAAGGTGTGTGTCTCAGGACGGCTGACTCAAACAGCAAAAAAACCAACAACCTTCGTCCACCTGGCTGACCTGGCTTCTCTCCTGATATTGATACTGATGCATCCCTATAAATGTTATGCATTACATTTATGTAGATCAAAGCCCAACACATCGGGTGCGTCCATATATTTCTGCACAGCCCCGCCCTTTTTAATATGTTGCTCCTCTGCGAAGAGTGCAGCCTCGTCTTCGTTCTTTTCTTTCTTGTTAAAGGTCTCAAATGTTTCCTCACCTCTGCTGGTTTTCACAGAGGAATGGCTGAGTCACGCCAGACTCTCGTCCAATCAGAGCGCTGGAAATGTACCTAGCAGCCGTTACCAGGCAACAACCGGTCCTGCGCCGGAACACGAGGCCTCTTTTCAGCGTCTCTCTCACCTTGTCTCCTGTGAAAACCTTCATTTTCTTCCAAAACATGCACAGTTAGGATTCTGAGACATCTCATCTCAGACCAAGTTGTCATCTGTACGTTAGTTGTTTGTACTTAATTGTGCATTTTTATTGCCGGTCGTTCATCATTTTCTTTCCTCTCATCACTTTTTGCTTCACCAATTCCTCTCACCTCCCCCACTCCTCTTGTTAACAACCAGCTGAATGCATTTGTCTTTGTTTGTTCTGCTTTTTCAAACTATTCTGATAGCTTCCTCGTTTTTCGTTGCCACACTTGTAACTGTAAACTATAACTCACCTCATCAAATTTAGCTCAGTGAACTTAGTTACCATTTTACTTCATGTTTTGTGTCCTTTGTTCCTCTCAAATATATCGTCTTCTTGCTGTCTCAAGGCGTATAAACATACACACAAAAGACAATGAACAGGCTGTCCTGAATTGCACGTCGCCATGGCAACAACACAGCAACACATCAGAGAGAAGCGACCAGACAGAGCTCAGGAGGAGAGGCAAAGCAGGAGATGTGAGGCGCCGACGGATGGATTGATGAAGGCAGAAGTGTTGAGAAGAGAATGAGATGGGGAAGCAAAATTAGAGGAAGTGAAGACTGAAGACACAACTGTAGAAATAATGAAAGAATAAACTATAGAAAGATCAATAAACTGTTAATTTTGGAGAAACTCTTCGTGTGATCAGAATACATGTGCACACAAAATCTGAGCTCAAGTTCTTTAAAATGAATCGAGCTTTAGCGTTCTTTGTGTTTGCTTATGTTAGTTAGTTGTGCTGGCCATCTTTGCTGCCTATAACTTTCCAAGGGTGGAAAGTGGTGAAACAACGTTTCTTATTCAAGTTGTGTGGGATTAAGATATAGGATGACAGTTTTCCTGAATCAATCCCAGAGGAGGGACCAATAAGGATAGAGATGCCTGCAGCTTCCTACAGGTTGAGCTGACCCGCACAAATAACTGTCCACTATCACAACTTATTGTGACTGAAGATGGCGAAGAGATGATGAAGATGACGAGGACCGAACAGACAAGTTAAAGCATCTAAAAGAGATTTTCACTGTAGAACAGAACTTGATCAAAATGGAGGTCTGATAAGGTGCAAAGGAAAATAATGCTCAGTGTCAGTTTGGATTATTAATAAACTGTTAAACCAAATGTAAGATTAAACAAGATAAATTGTAGTTAAAATCTAAAACTAACAGAGAAAGTCAGATGAATAGATTTTAAGAAGAACTGTGTCTGGAATTAAATGATCTCAGTTTATTTCTCTGGGGATTCTTATTATACATAAAGTTATCTATCGGGGAAAAAATGAAAAGTTACAAATAAACAACAAAAAAAAGACCATCCATCCATCCATCCATCCATCCATCCATCCATCCATCCATCCATCCATCCATCCATCCATCCATCCATCCATCCATCCATCATCTTCCTCTTGTTCTGGACTCAGGTCTCGGGCGCAGCATCTTGAGCAGGCCGGTCCAGACATCTCTCTCCACAGCCTCTTCCAGCTCTTCTGGGAGGACTCCCAAGGTGTTCCCAGACCAACAGAGAGACGTAGTCTCTCCAGCGTGTCCTGGGTCTTCCCCGGGGTCTCTTCCCAGTCATACATGCCCAAACCACCTCAACTGGCTCCTCTGGATGTGGAGGAGCAGTGGTTCTACTCTGAGTCTCTCCTGATAACTGAACTTCTCACCCTGTCTCTGAGGGAGAGTCCAGCTCTGCAGAGGAAACTCATTTCAACCTTCTGGATCCACGATCTCATTCTTTCTGTCTCTACCAGAGTTCATGACCAGAGGTGAGGGGAGGAACGTAGACCGATCGGTAAACAGAGAGCTTTGTCTTACAGCTCAGCTCCCTCTTCACTACAGTGGACTGGTACAGAGTCCACAATACTGCAGACGCTGCACCGATCCATCTGTCAATCTCACGCTCCATTCTTCCCTCACTGTGAGCAAAACCCTGAGATACTTGAACTCCTCCAGTTGAGGCAGAACCTCACCCTCGACCTGAAGAGAACAATCCACCCTTTTCCATCTGAGGACCATGGCCTCAGATTCTCATATTGACTCATGCTCATTACTCTGTTCCTGATCGAGCTGAACATTTTGATAAATGTAACAGTTAATGTGGTGGTAGTTTGAGTCCAAAGCATACAGAAGACAATATTAACATGGACATGACAGACTCGGCCTTCAAACAATAAAAACGACCAAATAAATAATTCACAGTAACTCTGTGTTGGTTAAGAAAGCCAACAGATTGCGTCAAATCTTTTCTTTGATTCGATCCCATGCCTTGAGCATCCTTAGAGCAGCAAATGACACGAGGGAAGAAAACTCCCTTATAACAGGAAGCGACCCCGAGCTGAATCAGATGATGCTCGTCCGTCTCTCAAAAGTTTAGGGGGAAAAAGGAGAGAGACGCAAAGAAACGAGTAAAAGAAGAAGAGTTAAACTGCACAGATGCTGGTTGTAGGGAAGAAAGGAAGAGAAGTGCAAAAGTCATTGAATCAAGAATACAATAAAAAAGATGGGAGGCATTAGTTATAACTGCACCCATGGATGTTTGTCTGTGATAAGTCATTTGCAATTCACACATGTCTCGATTCCAAAGAATTCTCGAGTGAAAGTTCAAGATTTTCCCCTGAAACAAGTGCAGAATATCTCAGCGAGGTCAGTTAGGGTCATCGGATGAGTTCAAGAAGTGACATCATGGAGGAGTACACATCTGTTTGTTTAGTCGGCACTGTACCATGTGATCTGAGCAAGCGTGTGCGCGCACACATGCACGCCTGTGTGTTTGGAGGTGTGTGGCAGCCGCTAATTAGTGAGAGATTAAAATAACACGATGCGACTGACGGTGAAGCGGTTCACACATTCATATTCATGCTGAAGACGCACAGATGGTGGACAAGGCTGAGGATGTTGCTCTATAATTCATGCAGACACTTCTACACACGCACACACATGCTCACAGATGGCCGGTGACGTTGAAGGACATTAATTTGGATGAGTGGCCTCTGTCAGCTGTGCTTCAACACATACAAATTGTGTTGTTCTACCATCCTTCTGAGGACCAGCAGGGACTGCAGTCATTACTTGACCCTAACCTAAATTCTAATCCACTGTGATACAAATCCTGATTTGTACACCTGCTCTAATTTTGGAGAGGATTTTTCCTTTGGTCCTTGTACAGTTGAAGCAAATGAATTGAGACCCCCCCCCCCCCCACACACACACACACACACGTGATCCTGTTTACCTGTAGCTCAGTGTGAAGGCCTGTACTGACGCAGTGAAACTCATCTGATTACTTTCATTAACACTTTTAATAGCACTAAAGCATGTCAGCTAGAACCATCAGCTGTATGTCAGTGGAGACAAATATTGATGTTAATGATCTTTCACGAGATGTTTACACTAAAACAAACACACCACAAGAAAGTAGATTAATCTCAAACAGCAAATACGGCAGTCTTGACAGACACACAAAGTTATTTTTAATTAAAAGAAGAAAATGTTTTTTTACATCAACACCTTAGGTAAAAGTTTCCAGTTTGATTCTTATCAAAGTGCAAACAGCTCCTCTGAGTTATGACTCGTGAAGCTTTGCTGTTGCAATGCCTTTAGAATAATTTTCTTGTCAGGGCGTAAAAATGTTATTACTTTAAATTAAAGTGGTCTTCTAAATAGAGGCAATAATAAATAAGAATCAAAGCCTGATTCTTAGGTTTCCTTGTTTGAATTATTCCAGAAGCATGTCATGTACACAGTTTACATAAATCTACATATTAATATTTTTTTTACATTTGGTTAAACCCAAGTTTCAACAAGAACTAAGTTCTGATACGCAGCAATTTCTTGCAAATTAAAATCCGACAACCTACATTTCGCTCTGAGATAAAATGTTGCCAAAGGTCTAGTTGCTGCTCGGGTATTTTTCAGGAAACATTTTTCAGCAGTAGTTGCAGTTTCTAATCCAACAAGGTTCAGTCCGGTCCTCTGGACAGATTCTTCTTTGTTGTTTCATCTTTTATCCTTTTATATTTTTTGGATAAAAGATGAAATGTTTCAATAAAGAAGAATCTCCCAGAGGACCGGACTGAACCTTGTTAGATGTTTTTACCTGGATTATTGAGCAGCATCAGGACATGCTGTTTATGATGTGGTTCATGCTGTGATTTTTATTTTATTTTATTTACCACAATCTTTTTATTATCTTTGCATTCCAGGCATTGGTTACGCCTCCATCGTGATTGTATCCCTTCTGAATATCTACTACATCATCATCTTGGCCTGGGGCGTCTACTACCTGTTCCAGGTGTGGAAATAAAACAATGATTGTCATAAAAATATAAAAGGTCTTTTCTTAAACCAGTGTCTTTTATTATAAGCATTTTAGAGAAAGAAATTAATAAGAAGCAGACAAATGTTACTGGAGCTGACGATTCTTTATGTAGTAATTCAAATCATTAAAAGATGGACAGCACAATGTTTAAAGGCATTGCAAGATTGCCTCCCAGGTTGAGGCCTTACTGGGGCTTTACATGTTCTCCCATGAACGCATGGGTTTCTTTCAAAAACATGCATGTTAGGATTATTGGTAGCTCTCTAATTGATTCAGAGATGTAAGTGAGAGTGTGACTGTTTGTCCCTGTACGTCCCTGTGATGGATGGTGTACTCCACCTCTTGCACAGTGACTGCTGGACATGATGCTGGATGGTTGGATGGATGGATGGATGGATGGAGTCATTAAAATGTGTTCTTAAGTTAGAAATGAAAATTGCATTCAAATAGTTATTAAAATGTTACCAGAAAGGATTATAGCTTATTGCATAACTTGAGGCTCTGACAGTCTATCTGCTCTCTTACATTTATTCTTCAGTGTTTCCAGCCAGAGTTGCCCTGGGCCAAGTGCAAGCAGCCCTGGAACACCGAACATTGCATTGAGGACACCTATCGCAAGAACAAAACCATCTGGTTGGCTGCCAATGCCTCCAACCTTACCTCCCCCGTCACTGAATTCTGGGAGTAAGTTACACACTCACCTGCTCACTTACATAACTACTCACAACATCTGTCATTTTGTCTTTGGAGCAGCTCTTTAGTATATAATGCCAAGGTTTCTGCTCTTCTTATGAGCATAGATGAACACAGATTGTTGTTTTGTGTTGCAGACACAATGTGCTGGGTATCACCAGTGGTATTGATGAGATGGGGCCTATTAAGTGGGACTTGGCTCTGTGTTTGCTACTTGTCTGGGTCATCTGCTTCTTTTGCATCTGGAAAGGAGTGAAATCCACTGGAAAGGTAAGCAATGACTAACATTTACTTATGTTGATGAAACACCAGGCTGAGGCTGGTTTATAAAACACCAGCCTTTCCATCCATCCATCCATCCATCCATCCATCCATCCATCCATCCATCC